TAAATATAAGACTGGTGTTACAGTCAAGTTATACAACTTCGTATCCTCGCAAACAAAATGACCCGATTACGTCTTGGACTCTACCGTCAAATTTTCCGCCATCCGACGGTTAACAATATCCGCGAGGAGGTTACTTTTAGTAGCCATCTGGTGGTAATCGCTGTTAGTTTATGACCACAGATGCGACACATGTACCACATATTATACATATATGAACACGTATACAGTTTCGAAGAATGAATTACATGGGTACTATTCGATAGTTCGGAATTCGTGGACGTAGATGATAAAAAGCGAACGAAATTAGGAAATAACGGATCCGAAGTCGGAGATTCGAGAACGGGAACGCCGCGGCGTAGAGTGCAAGGCGACGGGCGGCGCGCGCAGGCGGTGGGCGTGACCGCAACTGCGCAGTGGCGAATGGGTGGTAGGAGTGGTCGGAGCTTGGCGCCATTTTACCGGTTGTAACCGTGCCCATCCGTCCGCCCATGAACGGCGATCGACCAGAGAGCCGTGCAGGCCCGATGGACGCAAAACCGGGTTCGCTCGGCTCGTTTTGTCTCTCTTTTCAAGGCGACGGCCGCCACGACGCCAACTACCGCGTCGCCGCCGATCGATTGCTCGACTCCGCGTTCTTCTCTCCGTATCTCTCCCCCCTCCCTGCGGCGCCGCGCTGGCGTACGAGCATAATCGCGCCGCTTCTTTCTCGCCCTTTAAACATGCGGGATAAAAGCAAAAAGAAAGGTAGAAAAACATGGTTCGAAAAATGTAACCTTCCGAGAGAACGTCGTACGTCCAGAAGATCATTCAGATGTGCAGGAACCATTTAATCGCGATTGAGAAAGTGGGGAAGTCAGTAATCGAGTTAATAAAATTATATAAGGTTAAAGTATATAAAACCTTTGTCGGATTATCAATACGCTTAACGAAGAATGAACTTATTGTTCTTTGTTCAAAATTGAATCGGCGTTCTCCGAAGTGTTTCACTCCTACGTATCGCCGTCGATACTTTGTTTTAAAAGTCGAACTGTGGCGACGTGAAACATAAACAGTCGGGAGATATCAGAGGACCCTGATTTCCCTCTGGTGTCGAAGGTTTAGTTAGTTGAGCATGAGATATAACGGAAAGATCTCTGCAGCCGTCGTGAGAAATAAAATCTATTTCTTTTAATATAGAGCGTAATTAATTATTTAGAACTCCCATTTCTAAAAACCTTGAACACATTTCTAAAAGATATCGATAATATATTATAAGAAGAACCAACAAACGGAAAAGGAAGAGTATCGGATAATCAGAAAAGCAAGAAACTGCCAAGCAATACAATGGAAACGTGATAGATATATATTAAGGTAGAAGGAGAAAAACAATATTTCGTTAAGAAAGAAGACTTGAGAAACCAAAACTTAAAAGTACAAGAAAAGTTCCTATCAGGATAAAAAAAGAAACAACGAGTAGGTTAAGCTGCATACAGTATTATATACGTACATTTAGAATAAAAAGAGAGCTCGATATGAAGACTGAGAATTATTAGGTTGTAAGGAAAAAGAAGAAATATATCTCTTTAAAAGGATCTATTTTTGTTTGTTATACAATAAAATATATATATAATATACGAGTTACGAATCCTACATAAAGCATAATGAATCGTACGGAATTGAATACTGTAAACTAAAAGGGGGAAAACTTAGACAATGTTAATAGAGGTAACAGACAAAAAACTTTCTACTTCTATTACTTCTACTTCTATTACCCTTTTGGTTACCGGATCATGGATTTTAGCAAGTTTCTGCGGTTTGTGCACGCCAGACTCGTTTATCTCAGCCCTCGGATTCTGTCAAGAATAAAGGAAACCTGTCCAAAACGGGAACCTTAAATTCAAATAGTAAAATGACTCCCTTATCGATAAGAAATTAAGCCTGTTTATTTTTTGATCGAACGAAGAGAGCAGTTTTCATCGGAAATGAGAACAACGCGCAAGGCTAATGAATATATTTCAATTGTAACTTTCCGGCTTTCGGGAAGTAAACTTTCTCAAGGAACACGAATCCTTGAATAAAAGCGAAGAAAAGGAATTTTTATGGAAAGTTGAGGATTTTTAACGAGCATATAGGTACTTAGGTATTTACAATTCTTGACTTATTTCTCTAAACTTGCTAGGGTAGGTGCTCTTTTATTGTACCAACTCCAATTCTTTATCTTGAATGACAAACCATTTTAACAGTAGTTATTGCACTTATACATGCTTCTTAATAATTGCTTCTTTATTTACACTCACTATTTTCACGATTTTCTGTGTAACTTGTTGCCGTTTTCTATATATATGCTAGGTCTCCTGTGTTGAATTTATAGTGTTGATCGGAGTACCTTCGTTGGTGTATTAAATAATGAAAATGTCATTAAAAGAATCTCAACTAATACCATAAATATATTTTCCTAAATTCTTGCGATTATTTCCTAGATTATAGCACTTACTAAGCTCGGTTATTATTTTTGTTCGCACTATTTTTGCTTATAGCGCTTCTGTTAATGTTTTTCGATACTGCCTCGGTTACTCTTATATTATCGTCAATATTTATGTAAAATAATATTAAGCCAGAAAAGTTCTGTCCGTTTTTAGAACAAGACAAAATAATAAATTTGTCATACGTCGAACAAAATTTATCGAATAATACAATTTCCACCATTATTTATGACTTCTTGCTAGTGCGACCATTTTTAATGAAATTCGCGTACTTCTTAAAACTTGTTCAAACAGACAGAACTTTCCGGTAGACCTAATACGTACCTCTACATTATCTCTATTTTGTGATGAACAAGTAGTATTTGCTATTAAATAAACGAACATTCCATTAACCATAGCAAAACTATATGTAACAACCTTGGCGATTCGAATTCTAGAACGAGACAAAAACGAATTTAATTCTAATTTAGAGTTTACGAATTCGACTGTACGAAAAATCTCTTACCTCTTACTTCCTGGTTCCGAGATTCGTGCCGAAAACTCGCGATTCCGGCGCTTCTGAAAGAAACGTCGCGATAAGTACGACGCGGCCAATCAGGATCAACCGGTTACCGGGTTCTATAAATAGCGGAACAATTTAAATTTACAATAGCTCGTGATGTACTGATGCGCGGTGTTCCTACACACGGGATATTTCTTGAATACGGTTCTGTTGGTCGACGCACTGTGTTATCGGTAGACGACGTGCCTGTATGAGTGGCTATCGTAAGTAGAGGCCTTTACGAGCGCGCAGGTACGAACGGGATACGCCTAGAGCTGAGGGTATTCGAATGTTTTCTAACAATTCGAATTAGTAAATGTAAGCTTTGGGTAAAGATCGTCCGATAATATAAGTACAAAAGAGAAGATTAGTGGTTTTAATTACGGTTCAAACAACGAATACAATTTACCAGGACTTTCCTATATAGGTTTCACATGGTCTAGGAAGATTGAATTCAAATTAAGAATTTAGTTACTTGCAAGAGAAGCAAAACAAATATCTATTCATCTATGAAATAGGTGTGTTGTACCAGGACTTTCTTATATAGGTTTCACATGGTCTAGGAAGATTGAATTCAAATTAAGAATTTAGTTACTTGCAAGAGAAGCAAAACAAATATCTATTCATCTATGAAATAGGTGTGTTGATATGAAAAACATGCAGAATATATTTCATTAAATCTTAATATATAAAAACGGTGGTGCGTATGTATGTCTGACTATCACGGCTGAAACCACTGGAGCTATCTACCTTATATTCACACCACATATTCGTGTGGTGCTCCGGACCTAAAATTCACACCATATAATATTTAAATAAAAAGAAAGTGTTTGGCAAAATTTGGACTTGATAAGTGACGCTGAGCTAGAGATATTATAGAATAAGAATAGTATTCCACGCGGATGAAACCGCGGTGCAGAGCTAGTTATATCATAATATTAATGTTTCATTTTGTATAAGTGTTTCATGCTTATCAGTGTTGCTTAGGTAAGCATGTCTATTTTCATATGCAATTGAAACATCCTTCCCGTATTTGCCTCATTCTTAATATTCCCACTTTACAGTTACAGTTGTAGAGTTTATTGTATTGTTACTGTAATCATGTACGATGTACGAAAAACATAGTGCAGTAGATAGATGTTGCGTCCAGTACATTTCGGTTCGTTTCACGTAGATTGTAATGTATGTACGTAGAACCCGAAGAAATGAAGATGAAGACAATTCTCGTAGCACGTGTGAATCTTCTTCTGACAAACAAGGTAACGAGTCTTTGAATCTTTGAAGTTTTACTGGAAGAAAATGACGTTCCTCGTCCATCGAACTAATAATAAGCGGCTTCGCTAGCGGTGCCCTGTATTACTATGTAGGACGCGGTGTCACTGTTGTGCTCCACCATATTTATCGTGCACGCTCGTCGATGTACTTTTTATTGCGACACGGACAAGTCGGCGTTCGTAACACCGCGGTACCTTGAAAACTTCTTTTTATGTTCGGTGCGTTACGACGGCACTGGACGTGTTTGATAATTAGAGCGACGTTGAAAATGGACTGCGTGGTCGCGATGCCCATCAGAGGTATTACGTCCGTCATAGATGTCGCGAACACGACAATCTATCAAAGGATAGCGATCCGTGACGGACAAGCGGAAGAGTCGCAATCTCAGCTGCGAGAACTCTCCTGTAATTTTATGTAAATCTGCATGAGAATGAGATCTAAGCCGAGACCTAATCCGAGACTCCGCTTCTTCGTGGCATTCGCAGGCGACGCGATGCACAGTGGTCCGGATGGCGGATGCGGGCAAAATTAGAAAGAGTTTTCGGAACTTCGTGAAACTTGGTAGTTTTTTGAGTTATTTTTAAGTTATTTGAGCCGTAAATTACGAAAATGGCGAATGCAATAGGGCTGACATGTATATTAAAAAGTTTTCATGAAACTTGGTATTTATGAAACTGGCATAATGTATTAATTATATGTGTAACATTGCAAGAAAAACAATTTTTGTTTGCGTTCTTCGAATATAATGATTACTTTCTAAGATGTAACACTTCAAAGTTGTCGATTTTCCTCGTTTCCTTAAATTCCTTAATTTTCACATTTTGCTGCGTATCTGTGGTAATAAAATCTACAACTGTAATCTTATTTAATAATATGGTTCTTTTTGTGTATTAAATATATGTTATTTAGATTAATTTTCCACTATAGAGATAAAAAATAAGTTTGATTTTACCTATGTATCGTATGATTAATATTCCCATTTTACAGTTACAATTGTAGATTTTATTCTATTGTTACTGTAACTGTATATCCCCTAATGATGTTGGCCATGGTGTCATCGATAAGAAAGTACACGAGAATAAACGATCTTTTAACGCATGTGACTGTACTCCAAACGGTCTTTTAGTATTTATCTCAATGAAACGAATCGAATCGAATTAAAATTGATAGAATATCATGAAGAAGGCTAGTTATTACGATCATCGTTTCCCTGGTTTGGACTAGTCAGGAGTTGGAAGGACAAAGTTCAGTGATCTTCGAAAATTAAATCGTATGTGCGGAATTACCCACAGTATTAATACTATGGTTAATTGACGTTCGACTGTCGGTCCAACGGATTTCTCGTGCTGATACGATTCGCGTTTACTTTGACGTCTAACGCGCATTCTGCGTCGCTTCTAATGAAGGTTTTCCATATATAATGATTAATGGTGTCACACTACTGACGCATATCCATTTTCTTGCGTATATAAACATATCGATTCAACTGACGCGACACGGGTAGCACGGTTAATCATTGCTCCAACGAAATAGAGAATATATCCACTTTTTGATTTACTTGTAACTTAAAGAGAGATCAAATAATAAATGATTATAATGGTTATACGTTATACTTTAAGATAACTGTGTTAATGTAATATTTGATAGTATTAAAATACTGTTTCAGGTAAGCAGAATACTTGAAATACTTGAAACGTTAATTTCGTAATATATTAGGATGATTTCTTCGCAAATCTTCTTTTTCGGATAAGTAAACGCCTGCTCCGATACGGTTGGAGATCCAAGTCGAAAATTCGAATATTCTTCCGTTAATCGTATAAACAATCGTTGCTATAATCATCATCATCGAGAGAGAGAGAGGCATTTTGGTGTTATCCCTTCTAACGGTATCACCTGGTATGGTCCGCACCCTCCAGATCACCCTGACGATGCCACTGCCACCTGTAGTCTGTCGACGCAGTCGAACAAGTAAAGGAAATTGCGATTTTCGCAAAGGGTAGATGTTAAGAAAGAAGCAAATCTACCGGTAAACGAAGCATTCCTCCATACTACACGAACATGGGACATCTTCGTAGAAGTACATCGGGTCTTTGAAGTGATGTAATTAACTCTCGCTTGGAAGTATCATATCCATTACAAATAACGGTTTATGATCAGCAGTGGCATGTTCACGCATGGGTAACACGCAGGATACAGTTCTTCAAGCGCGACACTGTGCCCTCGGAAATTATTAAATATTATTGATCATTGTTGCAAAATGAATATAAACAATTGTTAAAATACATCATAATTCTACTGCGATGTTTACTAAAGCTCCAGCTACCCTAGATGGCGATACCTCTGATGGGCATGGGTAAAATATATCGAAAGCATGCGAAAATGGCTTATCATTGACGACGTACGTGGTTCGTGGGAAGAGGTAAAAATATCAACGTTATAAGAGAGGATTAGATTCCCCGACCTATTGAATGACTTTTAAGGAACTGAGACATCGGTGGAAATGACTAGAATTGCAAGAGAATCGGAACTAGAAGCGGAGATCGAAGATATGGCTGCGTTGCGAGTATCCCATGATCGACTCTTAACGGCCTGCGGTGTGCATTTATAGTAGAACATAAATAAGAAAGTCTACTTTTTGGGACGAGATTTGCAAACAGAATCATGCTGAAGAGCCAACTAGAACAATCACAAGTTGAACACAAACAAAGCACAAGTACAATATGATACGAGAACATGAAACTTGGTATAAATGGAGCAGTCGCTTAATTAGCCGAAATCAGTAGTATTATCACATCATGAATCGATCATTCGATAATACCCAAATATCACGATTATCTTTTCGATAAAAACTTGAAGCTCCTGGATGCGTGAAGCCCTGGGGAAACGACCCAGCTGGTTTATCGGTGACGGGGCCTGTCCGTGATAGACGGAATAGTATACATATACAGAATTGACGAATCAAGGGGTACAGGGGGTCCGAGGCACGCCGAGGAGGGCGAGCCAGGGCGCGAAGAGGAAAGGTATACAGGAACCGCGGAAAAGGACGGGGCTCGCGGAAAAGGGAAACGGGCCGGGTTCGTCGACGGTCGCCGACGCTCGGCGTCGCTCGTGCGACTCCGTCGCAGCGAGGCGGGGTTTAGGCGGGGTCGATACGCGACAGAGCCCGTGTCTTCCCGTCATTTCCGTGCAGCGTCGTTCTAATCGCAACGTATCGAAATCTGGCAACGGGTACGGCCGCAGTCCGGCGCCACCGTTGCACACACTTGCTCTGCCTCGCACCCACCGCCGTCACTGCATCGCGACATCGTCGTGTATCGTCGCGCTCTTTCGAGAGTCGGGCGAGTGCAGCGAATCGAGTCGTGGTCCGAGAGAGCGGTTATATACGTTAACGTAGAGTCGCGCGAGACGGGAACCCCGCGGTGGGGGCGGGAGGGGAAGTATATAACAGGAGAGAGCGACAGAGCACGGCGGGGTTAGAGGAGAGGGAGGGAGATCATCGAACGCGGGAGGAGGAAAGAACCCGCGCGCACGCGCGTCTGTCTACCCACCGGTCGATCGACAACTACGTCGACGACGACGACGACAACGACGACGACGACGACGACGACGACAACGACGACGACGAGCACGACGTAGAAAGAACGTGGCGCGCGAGTACGGTAGTGACGACGAGGCTCCGCTGATACCGTTGTGGGAAAAGTTAATCGGTTGACCGTTCGATACCGAGCGCAGGGAAAGCCATAGCGAAAGGAGAGCTGACCCGAGGTGGGGAGCAACGGCGAAAGGAAGGAAGGAAGAAACGAGGGGAAGGAGAGAAGGAGTGGAATCGGGTCGAAATCGTCCGTACGGACATGTGCGCGGCGCTGTGCTCGCAGTCAGCAGGGACGTGATGGTACGTAGCTCGCGGCGTGCGAGTTATCAGGATTGCTCGCGGTCACGGGTTCGTGACGACGGCCGTGGCGAGGAGTGCGACGGCGTGAGCGACGACAACGAGCGCGCTATCGCGAGAGAGAGCCTCGGGGCGCCGCACGCCGACGGACGGAGCGGCGTTGCCACCTCTCTTCGGACGCTGCACCACCGAGAACCGATACGGCAACCAAGAAACACCGTCGTTGCCACGTCCGCTGCTACGTTCCGCTGCCAGCCGGGACAGCAGCTCGCTGGCCACGACGATCGTCTCTATCGCTTAGCTGGTAACCACCTATACACGCTGGTAAGCCTCTTTATACCGCCCCCGCCACCCCCACCCCACCCCCCCGCCCAGCCACCCCGAAACGCGTGGTATAACCCAGACCTAACCCACGGATTAGAAGATCAAATCCCGAGGGGTATCCGATACCGTACACGTCCCGTACACCTCCGGTAGCCCGCCGGCTTTCGTCGTCTGATCCGTAAGTAGTCGAGCGAATCGCTCAAAGCGGCCTCGCTGTTGCTCTCCGGTGTACTCGCGATTCTCTACGCAAGATAGCCGCGCTGACTCGCCGCGATGCTACCCGCGAGATCCTGTTGCCTGGAATAGCCACTGTGGTCCGCGTATAGTCTCTGGAAGACACGTAGGGAACTCGTAGATCGAACGTGGCACGAACCCGCGCTGGGAGAACGCTCGGCGTAAATAGAAAAGGACTGCTCGGGACCGGGCAGGAGATAAGGATGTTTGGTAAACAACAGCGCCGGGAAAAATGCGCGTAACCGGTCGAGCGCGAGCCTTTAACGAACTTGTGCACGTTCTAGGAACTTCGTTATGTTTCTTCCACCGACTACGCATTTTCACGTGGCGAGACGAATTTAATTATGTCCCGTTGCCGTGGATCTTGACGAATTTAATTATATCACGTTGCGTAGGTGCCTTTGGAAAGTAAACTCATCGTTCAAGAAAGCTTTTGTTTATGTGTAACGGAAATACACGGGTTTTAATCTTTGATTTAGTCACGCATTTCAAGAAAGCACATGTAATTGTGAAAACAAAATGGCGGGTGAATATTTGTATTTGAGCTACAATTATAAATAATGAAATGTCAAAGCACGGAATTCATCTTTACGTATTTAATTAGTTAACGAATTTAATTATCTCCCGTTTCGTAGGTGCCTTTCGAAAGTAAACTCATCGTTCAAGAAAGCTTTTGTTTATGTGTAACGGAAATACACGGGTTTTAATCTTTGATTTAGTCACGCATTTCAAGAAAGCACATATAATTGTGAAAACAAAATGGCGGGTAAATATTTATATTTAAACTACAATTATAAATAATCGAATGTAAAGGCACGGAATTCATTTCTAAGGAATGACAAGATTACTATGCTTCGTACTTGGTAATGGACATCAGGTTTAGGCTTGCATAGGTTATGTATTTGAATCCATTGTAATGGAATTAACTTGAAGACTCCTGAGGTTCTCTAATACAACAAAATTACTTGTAAATATTTCTACTTAAAGTAGAGTTATAAATGTATTAATATAAAGGAAATATAAAACATGAAAATCGTCCTAAATGATTGAAAATCGTACACCAGTATATAGTTTAACCCTACATTGATTCGTAATTAAGTACAAAATGTGCAATAGTGTATACACGTATGTGTATGTATACATCAGCCATGCACAAGCTTCGTAAATGGCGCCAAATATAAAACAGTTCAGCCAATACAAAAGCATTTAAGGTTTCTAAATTCTGCCTTGTAAGATTAATGCTTCTTCATTTTATTTGTTACAAAAACACTACAAAAAGTGTAGTAATATTTAATAAATTAAACAAACCTCGTCGTTACACATGATAACTCAAGTGTCAGTAAAAATCGTACACAAGCGAGAGTAGGGTATTCCCCGATCTGACAGTGTTGCCAACAGTATGATTTTTGTTGATAATCAAGTTTCATAGATAATAACAAGTTTTCTTCAATTTACTAAATATTACTAAAGTTACAGTAATATTGTTACAATATCACAAATAAAAGAACATTAAATGATGCGTTAGTATTTATTAGATTTTTAATCGTTGAGTACGTTTTACTTAAGCGAAGGATTTTAAGTCTCTGTATGTATTCTTGTACAGTGTCTGGCGAGGTATCTCCTCGAGATTAGGTGGGTCAAAAGCTGTCTCACCTTTTGCTTATCTTTAATATTTTATTTAGAGTCTTCCATTCAGTTGTCAATACTATGAACTAACGTCAAATGTTAAACATTTGTGAGCGAAAACAAGTATACAAATTGAAACACATTAAAAAGTTGTTCACACTGTTTATCTATGCAGCTTGAGTTTTACTTTTTTTTAAACCGTTTGAAGAACCATCCAAAACTCTGCGTCCACGTGTTCTGCAGGTCATTCTGAACAAAACCCACATTTATTACAAGTCTATTCCGTTTATATTAATAATTGTTGAATAGGATCGATTAAATATATTCTTTGTTTTAGGGACGAATAAGATAACGATTAAAAAATAATTCTTCGATAAGAATTACAATCTAAATTATATAATACTATTACTTGTCGAAGTAACAAAACCTTACAGATAAGAAGCTTATCCTTCTTCGTTAATCGAATAGTGGGAGTAAATTGCTACACAGAACTTTTATTGTTTATCCATCCATTATTCGAGTAAAATCGCGTCCATCTCTGCACACAACACGTATCTATTGTAACAAAGACAATTTAACGTAACATAGTGACAAGTAAATATTTCCACCTAAACTATAGTTATAAATTTAACGTGGGATTAAGTGTGAAGAATAACGTGTTTAAACCGTTGTTGAATTTAATTTACGTTCCTTTTATATATTTATGACCGAATCGTCTAAATTTATGAAGAATCCCGACAAATAATTTACAAAGAGAGGTATTAATAATAAGTGTCCTCTAGAATTAATTAATTCACTCGATTCTTCGTGCTTTTTCAGGCAAACAAATTTCAGGGATAAAAATGTTTCACGCGACGTCGACGCGGTGACCGTCGTTTTTTGAATATTCCAGTTTATTCGAAAACACAGCGGAAAACGTGTTAAACGGTCGCCAATATAAAATGTTTGGATTAGCGGTATCGTGACCAGGTATAGACTGGAACGCAAATCGAAAAACAAGGTCCTCGCGTGAAAGATATACTTCACAGTAAAGCAGACATTAATCCTTTTATTTATACCAAGGGTCGGCACCTGTGCCTGAGGGCCTGACCCCACCCAAAGGTGATGGGTTCGTACAACGACGAACGAGCGCCAAATAACTTGGTTACTTGTACCAATACCACTGGTGGCAGAGATGGACAAAACCCTTGGCTTCGAATAAATCTGAAGTTTGCCGATGTGTTTGTCTCGTTTCCTTCTTTGGAAAATGTTCAAAAGAGGAAACGAGACAAACACATCGGCGGCAAACTTCAGATTTATTCGAAGCCTAGGGTTTTGCCCATCTCTGGGTGCTGGAAGACATTAACCTAATCAGGGACGATTTTTCTTCGCGCTTTTCTTATATCTCCAACTGCACATCGGGAATAATATTATCAATGCAGCCAAGATCATACAATTTGTCACTCCTCTTGTTGAGCAATTCTTTTTATTATTGACAGTAATTATATTTGGTTGTCCGGAAAGTTCGTGGCAATTTTTAAGAAAAATTCAAAGGCACATTTGAATTTTGATATATATTTATTGAATTACATAGGTGTCATTTTGTTCCACATCCTTTCCACCTTTTAAGGGATGCACCCGTGTTATTTGTTTTCAACCATTCCGATATAAACAGATGTGTACCACCTATCAAAAATCAGCACGGACTTTCCAGACGAACTAATAGTATTCGGATTTTTTGTTCAGGTATACAAATAGTACAAGAATCCAAATGAAACTCCCGCTCTATTCTGAATGGATAGAGGAGAGGGATAAAAGACTGTAACCACCGGTGATTCCGTGACAACTGTCCCATCGACGGCTTGTCTTCGCGATCCTCGATCGGTCTTCCTCTACTGCGTCGCAATCCGATATTATTTTCTCCGTGGTTTCTTTCGTGGCCTCGCCGATCATCGAGCGTAGAGGACGTGACCGGAATCGAAAACAAACCTCATTCGTCCGTCCGGTGAAAAATTGAGATCGCGATTCCCTGTGTACACCGTTCGCGTGGAACACGGCCGAAGCGAATTCGGTTTCTCTCGACTTGGCGCCAGACCTTCCTCAAGTTCGACTCTAGAGGTCCTTCTACTTCTTCCCTCTCCCTCTTCTATCTTCTTTTCCAACCCACCTTCGTTGCCCCCGCCATTCCTCTGTGACTCTACCTCGTGTCTCCGTCGTGTTCCTGTCCTTGGCGTATCATTCACAAACCCAAATCGCTCGAATGCTGAAATAGTTGACTATGTCACTGTCGACGCAGGTGGTCGAGGGCTTTTCTTTCTGCCCAGTTCGTTGGCCATGCGCACTGCCGCTTGGCCGTGTTATCGGGATGGTGTACGCGAACTGTTTTCCACGCTTGTACTCAACGACCGGCTTCGTTATTCGGAGTTTCAAATATTTGTATTAGGTCGTAACATATGAAATGTCCGATTTTTAAGGGTAACTTTAAATGAACACAACTTTTTTTCTAATTAATGTATTTGATCGAAATAAGAACCATTAGATTCTATACATTTTTGCCAATGGGTTACAAGTTTTCTGATACCTTTTTGCTAAAAATCCAACGTTTTAGTGTTAATGAACTCTAGGACCGTGTCTTCCACATTCGTTCGATTTGATCGATTTCGGTGTACAATACTTTTCGGCTGTTATGGCTTGTCCAGGGTGTAAAAAACTATAATGGGTTACACCGGCCATTGACCACCAAACCGTGAACATTATCTTTTGTGGATGTTGAGCAGGTTTTGGCATATGTCGTGGCTATTCATCTGCATCTAGCCATTGTGCAGAACGTCGTCTGTTGTCGTATAGAATCCATTTTTCGTCATACGTGACAATGCGATCCAAAAACGGATCATTTTGGTTCCGAATCAGTAACGAATTGCATATTTCGTAACGACAAAACTTCTGCCGATCGGTCAATTCGTGCGATACCCATTTACCCATTCTTTTTTTTACCAATTGAACCCAAGTGGCGTGAAATTGTCATGGCACTTACGTCAAATTTTTGGGCAAGTTCTCTGACTGTTGTTCGAAGATTTTCTTCAACAGCGAGTTTCAAATGGTCATTGTTAATGCTCATCTCTGGCCTTCCACGATGTTCATTTTCAAGGCTTTCATCTTCG